CTAATAGGGAGCGTACCTTGTGTAGTTGGTGTGCGTTGCCATTTATACTTGCTCGAGAGCCCGACCTCCGTACGTTTCGAGACTTACCCGGTATGGCCTCAATCCCGCGCTGAGGGGGATTCTCCCCACACTCTGCGGGATTGTTCCCTGGAACCTTTCGAAACCCTAGTGGCGGTGTGCCCCAAGACGGTTGTCAGGGGCCTGGGGTCCAAGCCCAACTCTGCCCTTCCTGGGCTGCCACGTGTCCAGGCCCAGGACGGGGCCTCTACACCAGCCCCCTAGATTAGGTAGGGTTTCCAGACAGACCTAATCTATACCCCGGCCACGTGGGAGACCAGCGTCGCGCACTGCTCTGCCAGGGTCACCTCCGGTACAGCGCTGTCACTGAAAAGCTGCGCTCATGTCCTTTCAGTTGTCGCGTCTCTTCGGTCTCCGTACCGCTCTTAAATGCGTTCACATGGGACGGTTCAAATTCAAGCAACCGTTTCCCCCCCCATTTCATTCCCTATAAATAGGGGTTTCAGATTCCCTCTAACTCTATTTGTCATTTTTCTTTCCGCGTGCATTTCCAATTTCCGGCGGCAAGACTTCCGGCTCTCAGTGCCCAGATTCAAGCGATTCCTTCATTTTTTTCCCATTCTATTCACCAGTAAGTCCTTTTCCTCCCTCATTCACTCTCTTTTCCCTTTGCCATCTTCTGCTTTTTATGTCGGATCGGTCCGGCGTTACTTCCACCGCCTCTCGGATTCCTGCCCACCGTAGAGCCCTTAGGATTCTCATTTCTTCTTCATCTTCATCTTCATCTTCATCTTCATCTCCCCCTCCTTCTCTTTCTTCCTCTTTTGCTTCTAATCCTAGCTTCCACATTCCTGATTTGCTTGAATCCATAGTTATCATGAGCTCTCCATCTGCCTACTCTCCTTCTGCCCGAATCCTGGAGGAGGTGGCCGAGCTCAGTGCTCTCATCGAGCAGCAGGCCACTTCTGTTCCCTCCCCCAAGTCTACACAGGACTCTCCTGGCGGAGCCCAGGAAGGAGTTGGGGGAGACAGGGACTCCTCCGAGGGGACCCCTGCTTCCGAGCAGGGGGATGATCCTGGATTCGACTTCGGTTATCTCGACCAGCAAGAGGTCACCATCTCACCCGAGGTAGTGGCCGAGCTGGTCGGGTCTTTTTCTATTCCTCCGGTCTTTGAACCAAGGGCTGCCAGGTCCACTGACCGAACTAGCCGACCTCCCTCCGGCTTCGTAGCCATTTATAGGAAGCAGCTGGTCGCAGGGCTCCGTCTCCCAATTCCTCCAACCCTGGCTGAGATCCTGAGCTACTGGGGGCTCAGAATCACTCAGGTCCACCCCAATTCGATCAGGATCATCATTGGATTCCTGATATACTGCCAAATCAGCTCCATCCCCTATTCTCTTTCTCTCTTTCGAACCTCCTACACCCTCAAGCTCTCCCTTCCTGGGTGGTACTACTTTTCCCGCCGAACTACTAGCAAAGTTCGGGGCGGGAAGGGCACCCAAGATCTGCTCTTCGGGGTCCTTTCTTCCGTAAAAAACTGGAAGGGGGACTTTTTCTTTGTTAAATCCACGAGCTTTCCCCCTAATGTGTGGAAGGTCGGGGGAGTCGACTCCGACCCCTACCCGGAGGACTTGGATTCCGAAGCTCTCAGCCAGCTGGTGAGCTCCAAGGTGAAGCTCTATGCGGCCAGGTTTTTCACCGAGCAGATATCTGCGGCCGGGCTGATGGGGACGTTGTCCTGGTCCCCTGGAGAAGTGGAGCCCTCCTCCACCGACTACGACACTTGTAATGCCGCCCCTAGACTCCTGCAGTCTATTGCTTCCTTCTGTCTTTTACTGACCTGTATTTACTAACCTGGTGGTGTTTACTGTAGTGAAAAGACTCTCTAAACTGTTGGGCACGCCCTCCGAGAAGGTCACCCCCACCCCGCAACCGGAGGCGGTCAAGACGGCCTCCGCAGCATCTCCGGCCTCAAGGGGCGGCTCGGCCCCTCCAAAAGAAATGCCCCACTCTTCATCCCCCTCCAAACAGGTCGCCAGCAAAAAGAAAGCGACCGGGCAGAAGAGGGGTCGAGGGGACGGTCCTCCTAGCCCGGGAAGAAGCTCGCGCCAGCTCCAGCACAGCCCCCTCCCCTTATAACGTCGGGGGCGCTCCCCACGCGGGTCCAGTCCACCTGGGGATTGGCTCCGCGGAGGAGCACGCACGGGAGACGCCTTCCCTGAACCTGTGGCACTTCCGCCACGTGGCCCCTGTGAAGCCGGGCCAGACCCCCACTATGCACGACCCCCGTCGCTTCTGTCCGTCTTGGGAACTCTCTATCAATGACCGAGTCCAATTCCCCAAGGTGGCTCGCAAGCTGATTGCGGGTTCGGTCCTCCCGCGAGATAGGAGGTGGATGGAGCTGGCCACCCCATCCGAGCTCCAGGACATGTACTACACTGCCCAAACTCAAGTAAGTCCCCTTTCATTTTGGTCGCTTGCATCTCCGTTCCTTCCTTAGATGGAGTAAGTAGCACGCCAATTTTTCTTTCCATTCCTCATACCAATGTCGTTGGGGCTGCCCTGGTGACCAGCTTCTCCGAGCTGTCTCTCGACTTGAAAAAATTGCAAAAGAAGAATTGGGAGACAGAGCAGAGACTTGCCCAGGCCCTTAAGGAGGCGGACTCCTTAAAGGCCAGGGTGGGCGAGGCCGAGAAAGAGTTGGAAGCGGCCCAAGTCTAGCTCGCCTCCACCCGGTCCGAGTTGGACCAGGAGAAGAAGGGCGTGGCGAAGTTGAGGGAGGACCACGCCATTGAGTTCTCCGGCACCGTCAGCCTGGAGCGCAAGAAGACTGTTCGGAAGATCATCTCCTCCGAACAGTTTGTCGAGGATGTCGCTCTCCTCAACCAGCCCATCCTTCAGGTCGGCTTTACGCGAGCCCTAGACCAGGTGAAGGGCCTCAACCTGCCTGGCTTCAACTTGGCTAACTTCAAGGACTACAATCCCGTGGCCGAGGAGAAGCTGGACTGGCTCTTCGACGGGTATTGCAAGAGGCATGTCCTGAAGGACCTGGTAGACAGGAGTGATGTGGGAGCCAACCTGACGGAGGTTCCCTTGGTGGAGGACGGGGCTTCGGGCAGAGCTTCCGGGAAGGAGCCGGTGGCCTAGGCGGCTTAGGGGTCTCTCGGGGGTTAAGCTGTATATCTTTTTTTTTTATTTAGCTCGGTAGGCTTTGCAATAGGTAGGTTTCGAATGTACATATAAAATTCGAACGAGATTACCTAATTTCTGGCTTCCAAGCTTCGCATGAAATCCGAACCCTAACAGTCGAAATGGCATGCCGATCGCCTAGGTTGAACATCAAACCGATTTACTAAAACGGCATGCCGGCCTCTTGGGTCGAGCACCTGTCAAACTATAAGCCAACAATCGAATCAAACTAAACTAACAATCAAATTCCAGCAATCTAAGTGGCGTGCCGACCTCCTGGGCCGAACATCAATCCTTAAGGTTTTAAGCTGCGCCGACCTCCTGGGTCGAGCGTTGAACTCTAGCAATCAAAGCCGTATGCTGACCTCCTGGGTCGAGTACCAAATAGATCCGTCAAGGTAGCGTGCCGACCTCTTGGGTGGAGCATCTATCGAACTTTAAGCTAACAACTAAATTGTCAAGGACAACAGACTAAGGTATCAACAAACTACATCAGACTAATTCCCGACGTGCCGACCTCCTGGGCCGAGCGCCAAACATTAAAGGCAACCATGCCGACCTCCTGGGTCGAGCGTCAAACTCTCAGACTTTAAAGGCATTACATCGGCATTACATCCATTACCATTCATAATCACTCAGGGCCCCCCACTAGGACACTTAGCATTGCCTGAGTGTGCTAGTGTAGGATTTAAACTTAAAAGTTAAACGACATTGATAATGACGAACTTAAAACTTGAAAGTCGAACATTTATTCAATGATGAACTTGTATGCGGATTCCGAAGAATAGACAGTAAGATACCTGGCCCAATCTATCCTACAAACAATCGCAAGTTCGAGAAGTGCCAAGTGCGTGGTACCTCCGCTCCATCCAATTTGGCAAGCCTGCAGTACCCAGCTCGACTCGCCTCCAAGACTTTATACGGCCCCTCCCAATTCGGGTCGAGCTTGTTGGAACTATGAGCGCGGCTGACAGAGTTCTTTCTTAAGACAAGATCTCCTGACTGGTACTGCATGTTCCTCACCTTCACGTTATGATAGCGGGCGAGCTGGCTTTTATACTTAGCCATCCGAATCGCCGCTTCCTCACGTTTGGCCTCCAACATATCCAAGTTACACCTCAGTTCTTCTTCGTTGGCTGCCGCAACGAAGTTCTGTGTCCGAGGCGAGGGGAGGCCGATCTCCACTGGTACCACCGCTTCTGCCTCATAAGTTAGGGAGAACAGGGTCTTGTGGGTGGCCGTCCTTGGCGTCGTGCTGTAAGTTCAGAGGATACTAGGGAGTTCATCTAGCCAGTTAGACTGGGTCAGTTCCAACCTAGTCTTTAGTCCTTGCAAAATGGTTCGGTTAACATTCTCCACCTGACCGTTGGCCTGGGGGTGACTGACTGATGTGAAATATTGGCTAATCCCGAGCTCTTCGCACCAGCTCCTGAAGGGGTTCTCAGCGAACTATCGCCCATTGTTAGATATCAAGACATGCGGGATCCCAAAGCAGCAAACTATGTTCTTCCAGAAGAATTTCTGAACCGCTTTCCCAGAGATAGTGACCAGGGGCTCCACCTCCATCCATTTTGTGAAGTAGTCGATGACCACCACGAGGTGCTCGTATCTCCCCGGGACCCGAGAGAAAGGCCCCAAAAGGTCTATTCCCCACTGAGCAAAGAGCCAAGGACTATGGATGGAGACCATCTCCCGACTTGGCCGGTGGCGCTGCGGGGCGTGCACCTGGCAAGCTCGGCATTTCTGAACCAATGCAGCGGCTTCTTGAAACACTGAGGGCCAATAGTAGCCCTAGAGAAGGCACTTTTTGGCCAACACCTGGGATCCCACATGTGCCGCACATAAGCCTTCGTGAACTTCACGGAGGACATAGTCGCCTTCCTCAGGAGTCACGCACTTTAGCCAGGGAGATAGATACGACCTCCTGTATAGGGTCTCCCCGGCGTAGGTGTACCTAACAGTTCTGAACTGGAGTTGACGAGTTTCGATTTTGTCCCCGGGAAGGACATCTGAGCCGAGAAAATCCACAAGGGGAGTCATCCAGGAGGCCGGGCTGGCTATAGCAAAGACCCGGATCTGGTCAATGCTTTTTTGCTTGACCACATCTACCAAGACTTCCTTACTCAGATGAGCAAACGAGGAGGACGCAAGTTTCGACAGGGTGTCCGCGCGCTTATTCTGTGATCTCGGCACTCGCTCGATTTCAAAGGCATCGAACAGGGTTATTGCCTCTCGTACCTTAACTAAGTATTTTTTCATGACGTCCTCCTTGGCCTCATACTCCCCGCGGACTTGGTGGATCACGAGTTGAGAGTTGCTCCGGATTTTGATCGCGGTTATACCCATCTGGTGGGCTATCCGCAATCCCGTCAATAGGGCCTCGTACTCAGCCTCATTGTTGGATGCCGGGAAGTCGAATCTGAGCGCGTAGGTCAGCTCTTCCCTAGTCGGCGAGGTGAGCAGCAGGCCGGCCCCACTTCCTTCCTTACCCGAGGCCCCGTCTACGAATAGTACCCACGGCTCTTCCGGCCGTGCCTCCTTGGGCGGAGAGCTTGGCTCAGCCATGGACAAACTTGCTCCCTCAGCAAGGAAGTCTGTCAGGGCCTGAGCTTTGATAGCAGTGCGAGACTGATAGCCGATGTCGTGCTCGGCCAGTTCGACGGCCCACTTGGTCATCCTGTCCGAGACCTCAGGTTTTGTGAGTATCTGTCGCAAGGGCTGATCGGTCATGACTACAATACTGTGGGGTTGGAAGTAAGGTCGGAGTTTCCGGGCGGTGTGCACCAGGGCAAGGACCAATTTTTCCGCCGGTGTATACCGCGTTTCCGACCCCTGTAAAGCTCGGCTGACATAGTATATTGGCTTCTGAGCCCTCCTATCCTCCCGGACCAGAACCGCGCTAACGACCTCGCTGCAAGTGGACAAGTATAGGAACAAGGTTTCCCTCTGCTCCTGGGGGGTCAGGGTGGGTAGCTCGGCTAGATACGCTTTCAGGTCAGTGAAGGCTTTCTGGCATTTTTCAGTCCATTGAAAATCCTTAGGCGCTTTCAGGATCCGAAAGAAGGGTAGCCCCCTCACCGCTGAGCGCGAGAGAAATCTATTCAGGGCGGCCATCCGACCCGTGAGCCGCTGGACCTCCTTTATGCTCCTCGGAGGGGCCATGTCCATGATGGTTTGGAGCTTATCCGAGTTGGCTCGGATTCCCTCTCGGGACACCAAGAATCCTAGGAACCTTCCCGACCTAACTCCGAAAGTACATTTCTTCGGATTCAGTCGCATCCGACTCTTCCATAGGACATCCAAGATCTCCTTCAGGTCGGGGATGAGCCGCTAGTCAGTTCGGCTTTTGACGATCATGTCGTCCACGTAGACCTATATGCTTCTGCCGATCTGATTTTGGAATAATTTATTGACCAGACGCTGGTAGGTAGTTCCAGCGTTTTTCAGCCCGAACGGCATGGTCCGGTAGCCGTAAGTTCCTTCCTCAGTGATGAAGGAAGTCTTCTCCCGGTCTTTCTCGGCCATCTCTATCTGGTGGTATCCCTTGAAGGCATCCAGGAAACACAAAACGTCAAAACCCACAGTAGAGTCCACTAACCTGTCGATCCTTGGCAGGGAAAAACAGTTCTTTGGGCAGACCTTATTCAGATCCGTGAAATCCACGCACATCCTCCAAGACTGGTCTTCCTTCTTCACTAGGACCGGGTTGGCTAGCCAGGTCGGGTAGTGTACATCCAGGATGATCTTTGATTCCAACAACTTGCCGACCTCCTTTTTGATCACCTCATTCCTCTGGGGTGAAACTCCTCTTCTTCTGCTTCACCGGCTTGAAGCGGGGATTTACGTTGAGGTGGTGGACGGCCAGGTCAGTCGGAATCTTGGGCATGTCTTCAACCGTCCACGCGAAAACCCGGGAATACTCCCTCAGCAGGGTCTTCATACCCTCCTTCTCCTCAGAGGGTAGCCGCGCACCGATGCGGAGGACCTGGTCGGGCTGGTCCTTCCTCAAGGGGAATTCCTCGATCTCGTCCTGGGTGCCCAGCTGTCAGGCCTCCTCCCTCGGGATGTAGGGTTCCAAGTTGGTCGTCTGAGCGACCACCTTCTCCCGTCCCCGGAGCATGGCCAGGTAGTAATTTCTGGCCACTTCTGGGTCTTTGTGCACCTCGATTATTCCTCCGGGGTGGAAAATTTGATGTTGAGGTGGAGCGAAGAAGGAATAGTTCGGAGAGCGTTCAGGGCGGGCCGTCCCAAGAACACATTATACGGGGATGACTGCTTGACCATCACGAAATTGACAGGGATGGTCCGACATTTGGGGGCCTGCCCTACCGTAACCATCAGGGTGATCATTCCTTCCGGGTTGATGGGTGGTCCGGTGAAGCCTACTAGGGGTGTCCGAACCGGGGTCAATTGCCCGTCCTCCAGGCCGAGCTCTTTGAACATCCGGTAAAACAGGATGTCCACCGCACTCCCTTGGTCGACGTAAACCTTCTTCACCCGATAGTTATTGGTGATGACGTCTATCACGATGGCCTTGTGGTTCCCGGATGCCAGGGGAACCGCGTCCCTTGATTCGAAGGTGATCTCCTCATCCATGCTCAAGCGCTTCAGGGAATCATCCCCTTCGGGGAGATGTCACCTATTCTTCCAAGCTGCATAGTTGTCCCCCCCGTGGGACCCCCAACGATGGTATTTATCACCCCTGCTAGGTTCTGTGTGTCCCGGTCGGGGAAGTGGCCCCGAAGCACGTCACGCTGCTCAGGGAGGTCACGACGCTGGCCCTCGCCCCTGTCTCCGCGGTAGGCGCGTCCCGACTCCTGATCCGGTCGACCTTGCCGCATGAATCGTCCCAAGAAACCGCGCTGGATCGATCCTCGATCTCCTTCCGCAGGGCCCAGCACCCCTCCATGTCGTGCCCGACGTCACGGTGAAAGGCACAGTACCGGTCCTGATTCCTTTTGTTCCGGGGGGTCCCCATCTTGGGCGGCCGTTCCCCTAGGCCCTCTGCCTCCATGACAGCCAGGATCTGGACTCTAAACCGAGTCAGCTGGTGTAGCCTTTCTCCGGGAGCGGTGGCGGAGCAGGGACTTTGTCCTTCGAAAGCCGGTCAAAGACGTTCTTCTTAGCCGGGCTATCCTTGTTCTTCGGGGGGTTTTCCCGTTCTCTCCGATCTCCGAACTCCCGATCTGACTCTCTCTTCAGGCGGGCCGCCTCCCCTGATCAAGAGCTCCTCCAGGTCTCCGGGAGGCTTCTCGGCCAGCTTGTAGAAGAGCTCCTCTACCCTGAGCCCGTTCATGAAGGTGGCCATGACCACATTTTCATTCTTGTCCCTGATCTGCGAGCTCTCCGTGTTGAAGCGAGTCATGAAATTCCTCAGTGACTCGTCTGGCTTCTACCTGATCGCCATCAGGTGGGTCGCGTTTTTTGAATAAATCTTCGAAGAGACGAATTGGGCGACGAACTACCTAGCTAGTTCGGGGAAACTTCGGATGGACCCTGGTGCCAGGCCCTGGAACCAGAGTCTAGCTTTTCCCTTCAGAAACATGGGGAAGGTCTTGCAGCGGATTTCATCCGCGGCTGTTTGCAGACGCATGTGCGTCAGGAAGATCGATGGGTGGTCTTCCGGGTCGGTTGAAGCGTCATACAGCTCAATGTTCGGGATCTTGAACCTCCGGGGTAGTGGGTAGTCCTCTATCTCCCGGATAAAGGGCGAGGTGGTATAGTTGTCCTCATACAACTGCGGCCGTAAGATCTGCTCGAGTTCGTCTCGAACAGGCTTCCACTGGGGAAGGTTGCGCAGCTGGCTTTTGACAGATCAGTCGGGGGAGCGTTCAGGCTCGTTCCGCGCAGGCTTCCGCGGTGAGGGGTTTCTCGATCTACTCCCCGTGGACCGGTCGCGGGAGTACCTCTCGCTATCCCCGACCACCGAAGCTCTGGGGCGAGGGGGAGTCCGCGGCCGTTTCCTTCTGAGGGGCTGGTCCCGTGACTCATCCTCCGAGAGACCGAGAGGTGATTCCTTCTCCTTCTCCTTCGCCTTGGAGGTCTGCGCGCCCCCTGCTTCTCCCCTCTCCTTCGCTTGCCGGATTATGTCTTCCAGCATGGGGAGGTTTTCCGTCACGAACTGAAGGATCTGCTGTCTCCGTTCCCCGGAAAGAGCTGAGCCTCCGGCGTCTCGATCCGCCTCGGTCTCCCTTCGCCGGGACCCCTCGCCGGCTCCAGGATCGGTGTTCTCTACGGTCCGCTTGGAACGTGTTCTCGCCATCCACACAACTTCAATTACCTCTCGTTTCCCACAGACGGCGCCAACTGAAGAAGCGCTGAGCTTCCCTAGATCGAACTGACCTGATGAGCTCGGCGTGCTGATGAGAAGAACATATTCCAGCCCTGCAAAACAAACGGGAAGTGATCCCTAGGGTGACTGACAGAGGAGCTCCGAGGTGGTCCCCGAGGGCACTCCGACGGTCAAATTAGTTTTTCGGTGAGGGGAATTTACTGAGTGTAAAACGGTTGGGAGTGTTTTTCCAATAGGGAGCGTACCTTGTGTAGTTAGTGTGCGTTGCTATTTATACCTGCTCGAGAGCCCGACCTCCGTACGTTCCGAGACTTACCCGGTATAACCTCAATCCCGCGCTGAGGGGGATTCTCCCCACACTCTGCGGGATTGTTCCCTGGAGCCTTTCGGAGCCCTAGTGGCGGTGTGCCCCAGGACGGTTGTTAGGGGCCTGGGGTCCAAGTCCAACTCTGCCCTTCCTGACCTGCCACGTGTCCAGGCCTAGGACGGGGCCTCTGCAAAAGGCATCAACACCAGAACAAGCAAACCACATGAATGCAACCTTCAATTATGACCAACAAATTGATAAATGCAAAACAAACCACTAGACTCAGAATTGAAGCAAGAAACAAAATATTCAAACTATGGCTAACGCTAATCAATCAACCGCCTTTGGTCTCACAAAGAGGTCTGGACATTCAAAGGGGTCTGCACAGTTCGTATGGTTGCAGGGGATAGCTAGCTAGAGACCCTCCCTTCCAAGATTCAGCTCAAGATTCAGTTCACAACCCTCCCTTCCACTTCGTTTCACTCTCACAACTTAACATTTAGCTCACACGACCTACATTGGACAGAAAATATCGAAAATAGATGGAAAATATTGAGATTATTTACCTCAAATTATGCCATGACAACCTTAGGTCTTCTTTTCCTTGAGATTCAGTTTTCAAACTCTGGCTTTTCCCCAAAATTCATGGTCAATTTTCCATGCTCTTGCCAGCAAGCAACTATGACGAACTAGGGATTTTTGCTATCTGTTACTCTACTAAAGCTGCCCTATCAGTTTGGGTAGCTCAAATTAGGGATGCAAATGGCGGCTTAAAGTGATTTTCTCAGTAGTGTCAGCAAGATAACAGTGGAGAGATGAAGAAGAAGATGGTGTCCGAAGGCAAAGAAAGAGGGAAATGAGTTTTGTCTGAAATTTGGGTAAGTGTTGTTAAATGTTTTTCTTCCAAATCAACTTCAAACGGCATCGTTTTTGCTTCTTTTAGAACCCCGCCTCTACTCCTTCAATTTTCAGCTTCCCGCTTCCACTATTGCACATTAAAAAATTACGTCTTCTCTCTCTAAATTGTTGAACTTTTCTTTATAAAGTAACGCCTTCCCTCTTTTTTTCTTTTCCCAATCTTTGTGTAATTAAGATTGTTTATTATTTTGAGCTTTTTTAACTCACAAGCTATATTAAAACTTTATTTGTTGTATTAAAACTTTGGAATATGAAATTTTAGTATTTTTGGATTTTTTTTTTACTAACATAGGTTTTTTAGGATCTCTACAAAAAATAATGTTCAAAAACTAAAAGGCTTATTAAAAAAGTGTTTATAATTTAAAAAAAAAAGATCTTTTAATGCAAATATTTTTGGTATCAATTTAATAATTTTATCAATTATGCATGAATTGTGGTCTGACAAGACCTAACAATCTGTTTAGTTGATCAAATAACCAAAATAGTTTGCTAATACATGCATGAAACACTAAATGTATTTGATACAAGTACTGATTCATAAACCATAAACAATTTGATTATTGTAAATTGTAATTAATAATAAACTCCAGTCATGCAATTGTCAAGATTTTTACTTAATTTCATATTAAATTTTATTATTCTTCG